TCCTGGCAGAACCCGCAGTAGATGCACTTGGTCATGTCGATGTCGTAGCGGGTGGTGCGGCGGCTGCCGTCGGCGCGGGGCTCGGCCTCGATGGTGATGGCCTGGCGCGGGGACAGCGTCAGCCCCGGAGCCCCTGGGCAGCAGGAGCAGGGGGAGGAAGGCTCACCTGTGCCGGGCACACGGCCTCGCAGAGCTTGCAGGCAATGCAGCGCTCCTCCCCGGACGGGTAGCGGCGCAGCGCGTGCTCCCCGCGGAACCGCGGGCTCAGTGGGCCCTTCTCGAACGGGTAGTTGATGGTGGCCGGCTCCCGGAACAGGTAGCTCATGGTCATGGCCAGGCCTGGCAGAGACAGAGCAGGGTTATGGAGGGGGATGGCACCCCGCAGACGGGCAGGGCGAGCGGGCCTCACCTCGGATGAGCTCGGTCCAGAGCAGGGTCTGCGCGGCGCGGTCGGTGATGGAGCGCATGTCCATGGCGGGCTCCTGGACGTTGACATACTCTGTGGGAAAAGGGAGCTGTGTCTGCCCCACACGCCCCAGGGGCAGGAGCTGTGCCCACCGCAGGGAGGGGACATGGAGGGGACACGGCCCTACTCACTGTAGCAGTCCCTGGGGGTGCTGGTGCTGAGCAGGCGGAGTGGGACCGGGGAGCCTGGGGGAGGGACGAGGGGGTTAGGAGGGGTCGAGATGGGGCTTAGGGGGGTTTGGGGGTGCCTGGTGTGGCCTCACCTGCGCAGGAAGCCCGGTATAGCAGTCGCAGCGCTGCCATGGCCGGTCCTGGGGTGCAGAGGGAACCTCAGAGGCTGCAAACAAGGGAGGGCCCCCAACTTCCCACGGGAGGGCCTGGGACCCTGACCCCCACCCGTCCACCCAAAGAGGCCCGGACCTCTCCTCCCGCGAGGGACCCCGGTGTCCCAACACCCCCATGGGGACCCCAAGTGTCCCCCCAAGGGACCTGGCCATCCCCCGTCCCCCTTGGGATGTCCCATTCCTCTCCTCCGAGGGACCCAAGTGTCCTCCCTAAATGACTCAAGGGTCCTGTCCCCTCAACAAAGGATATCCAGGCGTCCCCCCAAGGGAGTCACGTAGCCCCCCCTACCCCCATGCCCCAAAAACCCAGCCCCAAGCCCCCTCCCCACTCTCCAGCAGCCACTGACCCTCGCCGGCGGGAACAACCGCTCCTGTCACCCCCAAAATCGCCGCTCACCCTCTGCGCGTGTCCTCGGGGGAGCGGTACGGGCCGCCCCCTCTGCCCTAAGCGGGACCCCCCAGCCCGGCACAGGGCCCGGGCCCCTCCGGGCCCCCCCATTGTCCCCTCACCTGCCCCAAGGACCCTCCGGCGCCCTGACCCCTGGTCGCCCCGGCAGGCACTGCGCATGCGCGCCCAGCGGCGCCGGGTGGGCGGGGCGCGCGGCGATGGATGCGCTTCCCATTGGTCGGAGCCCCGCTGGCGGGGAGGGGGAGGGCGGCCGGGCGTCACTCATTGGATGGAATGGTGCCCGCGCGCGCGGCGATTGGCTGGGATGGAGGAGGGGCGTGTCCGAGCGGCCGGCGGAAGCGGAAGCGCGTGTTGATGGCGGTGGAGCCGCGTCTGGTTGCGGCGGCGCGGAGCTTCCCGGGCCCCGGCACTTCCCGGGTTTCTGGCACTTCCCGGCCTTCCAGCCGCTTCCCACAGCAGCACGGGCTGCGAGTGTCGGAATGTCTCGCACCTGGAGCGGCACAGCCCGCTTCGACTCACTGCAGAGCCTGGCACCGGGCACAGCCTCGGGGGAGCTCAGGGCGGGGACCAGGGCTCCAAGGACATGGAGAGCGGGGTAGGGGATCAGCCTGGGGGAGCTTCAGCGTTGGCCCCGAGCCATGACCCCCGGCACAGCCCCGGGAGGGGGGCAGCGGGACGCCAGTACTGGGCACCGTCCCCCTTTCCTTGTGTTTCCCTATTAAACTGTCTTTATCTCAACACCCTTCTCAGATTCTCTTCCGCCGTCCTACCCAGGGGGATCCCTCTGGGATTCACCCACGGCATTTCACAGCCCGGCAGGGGTGGGAATCCCTTTTCCGAGCACAACCAGCCCCCCAAACTGGAGGATCATGGTGCTGGGATCATGAAGCAGGAGAAACCGGGGTCATGGATCAAGGGAAACTGGGATCACAGTAAAGACTGGGATCATCCCAGCATAAGGATTTGGGATGAGAGTGTTGCTGTGGACCTCCTCAGAGCAGAGTCCTCAGTGGGGGGGGACACAGGGGTGACCCCTGTGCTGTGGTGGGGCCAGCGGTGATGGAGCTCCAGAGAGCCAGAAAAGGGGATGTGGGACTGAGATGGAGGGAGATGTGAGGTGAGCAGGGGTGCAGGGAGATGGAAGGGAAGCACACAGGATGTGAGGAAACACTCTTCATTGCACTTGGACACCACAGCCAGGGTTGGGGGGGATCCTTGGAAGGGGACACAGGGACCCTCAGAGCAGGGTACAGCCATCCTTACGCGTCACCTTGGAAGCGGCTTGGATGATCCCAAATTTCTTCTGGCTGTAGGGGGGGTAGCGCGGGGCATTGAGGGGCTCCCGGCCCATGCCACGCTTCAGGCAGCCACGGCAGTGGGAGAAGGTGTCGAAGGTGAACTTCCCATGGTACATTCCCAGGCCGCTATTCCCTGGAATACACAGCACAGGACCCTGGGGGGTGGCTGGATCTGGCCATTGTTTGGGTCAAAGAACCCCACAGTTAAGCTCCCAGCTCCATAAAAATGGCACCCCATCTTCATCCAGCTGCTTTCCAAGCCGTGGATGAACTTCCCAGGCATGTGACCGAAATGGGCCCATCAAGGTAACCCAGTGCACACCCAAATGGATGTCTGGAGTGGGAAGATCAGGCTGGGAAGTGGAAAGATTCCCAAAACCCCTCTCATCAGTGGATTTCACCCTTTCAGGTAACACATTTAGCAACTGGAAGGGCATCACTGATGAGTTGGTGGCAGCAGCAAGATGCTCTCACCAGATGAGCTTCCCTACCACAGGAATACCCTCCCAAACACATCCCATCCATGCTGGATCCAACCCTGCTGCTGCAAAGACTCTGGGAGTGGAGAAGGACAATGGTCAAGGTGGCTTTGGCAAGGTGGGACCCATCTCCAAGGAACAGTGTCGAGAGGTGGAAGGTGACCAGCCAGGAACAAGCACAGGGAAGGCAGGCAGGCTGCCAAAAAATAAGGAAATCCCTCTGTGTGTTGATAAGGGATATGATAAAATTTCATGAGTCATCCCGAGCTGGGATTGGAAGGGACCTTAAAGATTGTCCCGTTCCAACCCCTCTGCCACGGGCAGGGACACCTTCCACTAGATTGTGTTGCTCCAAGCCCCAATTCCCAATGTTTTAAGCAAGACATTTCCACGGATACAGGGAGCAGAGAGGTTGAGATAGGAAATACAGAGAGAAGGAACCTCAGGGTGCTCCACGTGTGTCCAGCAAAGCCAAAGAGCCCAAGGTGAAGTGAATGGCTCCAGGAGAAGAATTTCCCTATGGACCACTGAGCCCTCTGGAGCAGAGAGTTCCCCTTGAGACCCT